TCCAAATGTTTCACAAAAATCCGCTGGTGTTTATCTTTTGAAACAAAAAAAGTTAGGTATGTCTATCCCCCGGGGGTTACTGACTATCCTTTCGGGTATAACTGTGCTGACAGCACTTGCAAAATCATACCCTGTTCTAACCAGAAAACATTGAAAAACATACCCTGTCCTAAACAGAAATATTGAAAAAACATACCCTGTTCTAGACACGCTCAGAAAATGTATACATTGTTCTAGACAGAGACCTATATGTTCTAGACTAGTTCAGAAATATATACCCTGTCACCAAACAATTCATTAATGTAAGCAAAAAACATACCTTGTGTCAATTTCTGGTAGACAAATACTTTGTTTAAAAAAAAAAATACCCTGTTCTCACCAGCAGGGCATGAAAAAACGACCCTGTTCTAACCAGCAGGACATGAAAAAGTGACCCTGTTTTGCGGCACACTCGTACCACTAAAAATATAGGAAGTAACACCCCCGGGGTCTATCCGGATAAAAATGTCAGAAAAACCGGGGGGGGGGGGGGGGGGGGGGTTATGACTTTTTTTTTCTAGAATCATGAAACTTCATTGGTAAAAACTAATTATTTCCAAATAATTGTTATACAAATTGAGAGCATAATAATATAAAGAAGATTTTCCAAATGTTTTACAAAAATCCGCTGGTGTTTATCTTTTGAAACAAAAAAAGTTAGGTATGTCTATCCCCCGGGGGTTACTGACTATCCTTTCGGGTATAACTGTGCCGACAACACTTGCCAAATCATACCCTGTTCTAACCAGAAAACATTGAAAAACATACCCTGTTCTAAACAGAAATATTGAAAAACATACCCTTTTCTAGACACGCTCAGAAAATGTATACCTTGTTCTAGACAGAGACCTATGTGTTCTAGACATCTTTTTTCTTTTGAATTTTAATGTGTATATGTATATCAAAGAACTTTCATTATTAGCAAGTTTTTGCTTTTATAAAAGTGCCTGTTATATCACTTCCTTGGTAAAGAAAAGGAAAACTATAGCAATAAATAACAGATTTACATAGAAGAAAGAAGTAAAATAACAAAAATACCGAACTCCAAGGAAAATTCAAAACGGAAAGCCCCTTATCAAATGGCAAAATCAAAATCTCAAACACATCAAACGAACGGAAAACAACTGTCATATTCCTGACTTGGTACAGGTATTTCCTTATGTAGAAAAAGGTGGATTAAACCTGGTTTTATAACTAGCTAAGCCTCTTACTTGTATGACAGTCGCATAAAATTTCATTATATTGACAACAATGTGTGAACAAAACAAACAGACATAATAGGTAAAAAAAATATCAAAAATAAGGGTACACCAACCAACATTGTGTTATAATCTTAATCACTATAAAGACAAATAAATATGTCAACAAACAAAAAAAAACAAAATGGAATATCATTTTACTAATGTCAATTTCAGTGTCAGGACTTTGCTGTTTGAGTACACCACAAAACATTTTCAGGTAATGTTTGTACAATGGTAAAAATAAGTTTTCCATTAATAAAGATAGCTGAAAAAGATGTGTTTTTTTTTAAATTTTTCTAATAAAAAAGAATGTGACGAATAACAAACTTTTTGGACTTAGATTAATGTGCTCTTCTATTGGCCGAAATCTTCATTTATTCATATTAGGCACACTTCATAAAAAGGCTTCATAGGAAGAATGGAAAGGCGCTAGCATTATCTTTCATCTTTACGGTCCACTATATAGGTAATGTCCTCTCACTAATTAAGTTTGGTCACTTAGTGGAACTCATCTATCACAACGAACTTGAAATTATGGATACAACAGAAACAGTTTAGTGTGCGTGATATCTACACTTACATTTATAAATTTACAATAAAAGAAGGATCAGAACAAAACTTTACGACAAAAAAGATGATTTAATTTTTCCAATTGTGAACTTTCCATTTCTGTGTAGCATCATTCCAACAGCGCTTGCATATGGAGTATTGATGTCCCAGTTGATATGATATTCCAGATCTTGCAGTTCCTTTTGTGATTTTTTTTTATAGATGGTTGCTGTTTGCTAGGAAGCTATTAAACCAGGATGTCCAATGCAAATGGTGAAGTTGAAATCATCCATTCAAAATTCCTACGAACGACATCACGAATTGATTGACCGTTATGGAATATCTGTTTCACAGATGACAACGGATAAGGTCCAATTGTTTGAACCACAATCCCGTCTTCTTTGTTCTGGAATGTGACTTACCAAATAAGGGTTATCATCGGATTTTAATTTACATGAACAACAGCGGAAAGTGTAGTATAAGGATACTGCTTAATTCTTTTCGTTCTTCATAAGAAGTTCGTGTATGAAGTCAGCCTCATGTGAATAAAGGAACAAGTCGGCAAGAAGAGGAACACAGTTGGTTCCCATGGGAATGCCGATTGTCTGTTAAAAATCACGTCCTCCAAACGTAACAAATATGTTGTTAATCAAGAACTCTAGTATCTTAATAATGTCAGTTTCAGAAAAAAAATTGTTTGAAGCAGAGTGATTTTTTCCAAAATACGATTTATTCCTTGTAAGACAAGATACTTGTATCTACGTTGGCCACTCTTCCAATTCGTCCTTAAGTTTGGAATCGAAAATACTTGTGTAAAGTGTAGAAAAGTCAAATATTTTATTACTTTTGCAAGATCATAGAGTTTTAAACTGTATGTACTCTAAAAGATCTTTGGATTTTTTTGTACCCCCATCTGATTCACGGCACCTCTAGAATACGTAGTTTCACAATAACTTCGAGGCCCGGCTTTGGTTGCTGATAAAATTGATGTAAATAACTAAGATGGAGGTTTTGTTGAACACTTGGAAGACCCAGCAATATAATGTTGTTTGTAGGGATACTTATGTAGTAAAGGTATCAAATACAGTGTAGGAAGATCCAATTCTTCATTTATGGTTGAAATTCCAAAGGAACATCGAACAGACCTATGATTATACAGGATTTCCTCCTTGGTAAGTGTCGTGGGGGTATATGTTGAGTTTCCAAGTGAATTGTCAATACCTAAAACAAGAAGTTTATGTAATGTGATTTACACACACAAACCATGTTGTTTGGGCTTTATCTGCGGGGACAACAACACGTTTGCTTGGTAGGATAGGTGTTTTGCAACACTTGGGTCTTTAAAGATTGATGTAGCATGGTTTTTCATAGACACATTCAGTTTTTTTTAATTCGAATTCATATCAACGACCTCACAGCATCATTCCATTCAGAAAAAGTATATACGTCTTCTTTCTCATGTTTAACCCATGGCCTGGCGTAATCCTCGACTAAATTCACTATCCGTATTTTGAAGTTGGTTTTCAAGCGATCAAATTACATGCTTTTGATTTTCAAGGTTTATAAACATGATATTCCCATTTGTAGTGATTTCCTTTCAGAACGATACTCTTTCATTTGAAGAAACAATGCGAACAATTCAAACTTTCAATGAAATGTGATTCAAGGCATACAATAATGACTTATGTAAGATCCCTTTTTACCCTGATTAAATGCAAACTACAGTTTAATAAAATATTTTTACTTCATTTGATAGTTATTGTTGTTGCTAATTAGAGTTGTACTGTACAATTTTCTATCTTTAATAATCTTTCAAGTTTCATGACAGAAACAATCCGTAAAGGCGTTCCTTTGTTCATTAGACTGAAATACTAGAAAACGCCGTTTACACACAGTTTTGCTTTCAAACCAACTTATGTCAAGTTTTCTTTTATCGCTACAATTAATAAAGGAAGTCAAAAAAGATAAATTTTATAATGAAAAGTTTTTGTTAACACTCGTGTAAAGATTTATTCATAATCAAAAGTTTAAGATTTTGATGATTTATAACTGTGTTGGAAATTATTCCATTATGATTGTCCTAGGCTTGTAGAGTTTTACGGGGTACGATATCTTGTGTTCTCTTCGTGCCAGTTCTTGATTTTATACACTCATATATACTTTTTACTCTATCAAACGAACAAATATTTTACTTTTTGTGGTATAGAAAATCTACTACGTCCTTTCATTGGGGACGTGGAAAGGGGGGGGAGGGGCTTTTTGGGTTGGAGGGTGGGGTATTATATTTTATACTCAGACGACAGTCACTTGATTTGACGTTTAAATTGAATGTTCACCAACGAAGAACTGAGACTATACGACCGATAAGATTATCAACAGGTCGGGGAATAAATAAATCAGTTAAGAATGAGAAAAATATAGATTCTACCTCTGTTTCGAGTATGCCACGATATCAAGACTACCATTGTGAATTGGGTTGGATTCTTCTGATTTTCACTATATCCAAGAGGTAAACAAGATACCTTATTTAAATGTGAGTTTTCTTTTGAACCATAATTACTACCATTACTACCCAGATAAGGATAATAAAAACCTAACTTCGAAGTACAAACTTTTTTAGTTACCTATTGACAGTGGGAGATATGCTTTGATTCGACCAAAAGATATATTATGTACTTATGGCAACGAGGACATAGATGACGAGTTTCATGTATTATTTACTTGTTAAAATACTGGTATTTATCTGTTCCTACATCACATTTTATATAATATCACATCATAATGAATTCAAAGAAACTTGTATCTAGAACTTAATTACAGGGATAAAAAAGAATTAAATCTTTCGTCGGCTTTCAAATAAGTAAATGGATCTGGTAAGTAAAAAAAACCGCATTTCCATCACAGCAATGGAATAATTTAAAACGCTAAAAATGAGAATATTGTACAAGAAAAGATTAAGAAAAAATAACTGATTGTATCGTTCGACAGATACATTTACAATGAGCATGAATGTGTAGGGATAAGAGGAAAGGAGAGAACAAGACAGTTTTTGTTTTTCTCGGTACAGGCATTTATTAATATTTTTTTATTAACATTTAGGAACAAGACATTTTGTTTTAAAAATTTGGGTTTTCTTTACTGTATTTGCGATGAAGAATTTTTTTCACAAAATTAAGTTTCAAACAATTTATTAAATATCAAAAATTTCCCCTCCCGCACAAAAAAATCAAAATCAAATGAATAATCGTCATTTGATTTAAAATTACGAAAAATACATAATAGTTAGTTTTTGGCGTTAAACTTTATTTGTATTTCGTTAAAATAAAGTTGTTAAGTCACATATGAGTCATTCGTTAAAACTATTTGTCTGCTATCATTGTTAGTAAGGTTCCTATGCCATTTGAAAGACAATTATCAGAAGTCGATGTATCGCGTAAAATAGTTAGGATAGGACTATACCAATTAAGATGGTATCAAGATAAAAAGTCCTATTTGTTCATCATATATGATGCTTTAGTTGGGTTGCTGTCTCTTTGCCATGTTTCCCGTTTATATTATCGATTCTATTCTAAAACTTAAGCAAAAACAATTTGAATCCCTTTAAAACGTCGGGTTGTCTTCCTTAAACGAGTGGCAATTAAAGCTACGTCGAATAAAACATCGATACTCTACGAAGGCCAACAACATCATGATTGGATCCGTTTTTCTTTAGGAGAGATATTAACTGTACACCATTTAGATTCTTAAAGCGTGTTCTCCAAATGGATTGACAGTGTTGACCTCTTTCTTTTTGCAAATGTTTTTTATTCTCTTTGACTTTTAGCAATTCAATACACTTATCAGCTTTAGAGAGTTACAAGTTCGCATTCAAGAATATCATACTCATTAAACGGTTATGTATCAATTAAAGGGATCAGGACCAAGTTATGAATTCAGAATGTTTGTACATATACACAGAACATAATGATAATATGAATACAAGGATAAATCTGAATTCAAATGACATAGGTCTTCGATATTTATAATTAAAGTCTTCCATAGAATTAAGAAAATAGAATGACGAAAAATATACAGCATAAAAAAATCGAAAATATAAGCAATTCTTAGCAGAAACAAGTTTGATATCTTTTATGTAAGAAATATCGAAAACTGCAATATATTTTTGTATATCAATGAAAACACAATATAACCAAAGCTTACTTAACTAAACTATATCCATACTGATCAAATCTAGTTGTAAATACTGTTTATATTTGTTCAACAAATATTAAGATTTCGAGTAAAATGACATAGGTCTTCGATATTTATAATTAAAGTCTTCCATAGAATTAAGAAAATAGAATGACGAAAAATATACAGCATAAAAAAATCGAAAATATAGGCAATCCTTAGCAGAAACAAGTTTGATATCTTTTATGTAAGAAATATCGAAAACTGCAATATATTTTTGTATATCAATGAAAACACAATATAACCAAAGCTTACTTAACTAAACTATATCCATACTGATCAAATCTAGTTGTAAATACTGTTTATATTTGTTCAACAAATATTAAGATTTCGAGTAAAATTATTGTCATATTGCAATAGAATTCGGTACATTTTTAGGCAAAAGTATGGTGTACGGACGCTGATATACAATTTCATTATCGGCCTTTCGTCTTTCATTTTCTTCTTTTATCTTTTCGTTACGCTTTTCAATGTCCATTCCAATTTTGGCCAACTTACTTCTGAACCTAAACGATAAAGTTGAACTAATCAATTTAAAATCAATAAATTAAAGTGTAAATACAAGATAGTAAATTATATGATAAAGATGGTATATTCACGTGTAAAGTATATCTAATTGAGCAAAATATACAAAGAAATATATGACAAAAAGCAATGGTATTTATAAATTCAATTTTCAACTACACGCACATTTTGAAAGACTAAAATCAAATGAACATTATTTGTTCAGTAAAGATGAAACAATCATCTCTACAGAATGTTAACCATCCCGTTACAAAGTAGTCGATCATTTTCAGCTAGGAGTGTCACAAATGACCGCGGAATACTTTTGTACATGCACCCAGTTCTTTATTATATTGTGACTACCTTTTCGGATGCACTTAAATTATGGTAAGATATAAATATAAAATAGGACATACATGTTACAAAATATTATATTGAAAAATGTAGGTTGCACCCATCAATTCATTGATTTGTCCATTTAAACAACTTTCGGATGTATTGATAGCTGTAGAAAGAAGTATAAGTAAACCTTGTTTTCAATGACTCAATGATTTACTTTAACAGCGACGTTCTAGATCTATATTAGATATTTTAAAAATTGATCTGTATGGAAACTATGAGCATTGAAGGAGCTAATATTAATTTCAATCTTTTATATATTTTCTTACTTATCAAGGATTTTCACTGCGCCTTCGTCTTCTATGTATTGAACCTCGAACTCTCCAAGGGGTTTGGTAGTTTCCTGACTGAGACGGGTGAAAATAGTCATCATGTCAAATGTTTCTGCGACTGAAGGAAGGCTATCTAAGACATCTTGGTCAGTCAAAGCTTTCTGTAAAAATATAATTATTCTTATAATATACGTAACAACTATTTATTACAAATTTACAGAAACAATCGTATTAAAACAATTGAGTTGCATCAACATGATTCCTTGAATAATACAGGTTGTTTCCAACTCAGAAAATATCATTTCTAAATTACCGGTTATAGATATTCAAGATAGCAGTCATTAATGTTATGATTAAGATATGTATTAGCTCTGAGCTACCTTTTGTATTTTCTGCATATATTGATTTCTATATTATATTAGTATCTTATAAAGAATCTTTTCCGCACGAATAGTGGCGTTTTAAGAAATTAATGTTCCGCATGATATGATTATACACTAGTAGAGATCTAATATACCACACTCGTTCGTCGTTGCATATTCAACAAAGGACACTCTCCAACATTGCAGACGAGAATATGTTTCATGACAAAAATCTCTGTTTTGTTGATCTTGTATCGCTGATCATTTAGTCTATTTAGTTTCTCTCTATCTCTTTACTTTTTGCTCAAAACACAAAAGAGGGTAAAACAAAATCCTCATTTAAGGGCAATCACTCCAATTTAGAGTGGCAGTCAACTAACTATATCGGCAAAATTTGACTTGTTATAATATCTTTTATGTAATTAAAAGTGTCTATATATCTATTATAATGTTCATCATCCAATTCATATAGGCAAAACGCAAAATAAACGGTAAAACATCGTCATTAAAGGGCAATAACTTCAATAAGAAGTCATCTTTATTGTCTTCATCGTTCTTCTTGCTGATCATATTTTGCTTTTTTAAGTTTCTATCTATCAATTTTAATTTTTAAGATATAAGGCAAAAAGGCAAATAGATGGTTAAAATAGTCTTCAAAGGGCAATAACTCTAATAAGGTAATTGACGATTTTGATCATTAAATTTATTTGTAGAACTAGTCATACTGATCATTTTTGCATATTAAAGTTTCTCTCTATCTATTATAATTCTTATCATCATGTTCATATAAGGCAAAAACGCAAAACAAATGAAAAAAAAAAATCGTCAATAAAGGACAATAACTTCAATAAGAAGTCTTCTTGATTGTTTTTATTGTAGATCTTCTTTGCTGATTAATTTTGCTTAATTGAGTTTCTATCTATCAATTATAATGTTTAAGATATAAGACAAAAACGCATATAAATGGTTCAAATCGTCATCAAAGGGCAATAACTCTAATAAGGAGTCAACTGACGATTTTGATCATTGGATTTTTTTGTAGAACTTGTCTTGCTGGTCATTTTTGCATTTTAAAGTTTCTCTCTATCTATTATTGTGTTCAAGATAATAGGCAAAACAAAAAAGAAATGGTAAAATTTGTCATTTAAGGGCAAAAACTTCTATAAGAAGTCGTCTGACAGTTTTGACGTATATACACAATAGGTAGAGCTCAACATTCTGAAGTTTTTTGCTCCCGTAAAATTTTCTCTGTTTATAATGGTTTTAAAAATAATGAAATGATTGACCAAACTTAAAATTTATTCCTATGTCCTATTTTTAGCCATGTCGGCCATCTTGGCAGGCAAGCGGGGTCATCGGACAAATTTTCTAAACTAGATACCCCAATGATGAATGTGGTTAAGTTTGGTTAAATTTGGCCCAATAGTTTTAGACGAAAAAAATTTTGCAAAAGTTAATGGAAGACGACGGATGACGACGACGGACGCCAAGTGATGAGAAACGGTCACTTGGCCCTTTGTCCAGGTGAGCTAAAAATGATCTGAGTGTGGGACAGTGTACCATAGCGTAAAGAAAATTCAAAATATTAGATGAATTTTGTATGTTCCCACTAAAGATTGACATTCTTTTAGTAACGATAAGAAGATATGGTAAATAAATTACATATCCATTCAAGAACTAAGGACAAAAACAAATACCATATAGTCAAATTGAAATATGACGGAAGATACAAATATGTTTCTTACAGTTCATAATTAGGGAGAAAGCTACAACACCATAAATACCAATGCAACAAAAATTAAAAACGACGAAAAGACAAACAGTCTACAAAGCACTACATAGAAAAATTACAAACCTTTCTAGAATTGTCCGTTTATAAACTTTAAAATAATAGAAACTAAGGTTTCGTCTCCATCAGGCAAAGTAAGCCTTGAATAAATTTGTCTATTTTTTTAGGTCCCTTTTGTTCATATAGCTCTTCACTGTTTCGGTTATACATTCTTGGCTTTCAAATATTCGACTGTGAGCGTTCCTGATGAAGGTAAATCCAGAAAAGCGCTTCGGACGCATGGACTTTATAACGTGTTGTTTTCATTTTTTATGAACTGAGCTTCAAGCTCTTGAATACCGAATGAGTTAGGAAATGTATATCCAATATGTGGGTGAAGTTGATGTATTGCTGCTAAGGTGGGGGATTTTTTATAATTTCAAAATTAAAATCGTCTCTCTTGTCGTAGATTCTGGTACAGAGATTACAGAGATGACCGCTTGTGTCATATTCGAGGTATAAGTATAAAAATGAGGCGTAGGAAGCCGTGTCTGTTGTTTCTTTAATTTTTAGATCTGGAGGATATATTAACGGAACTCAATCACAAATGTTTGGATTGTTAATGGAAAGAGCATCATCAATATATCTGAATGTGAAATCATATGATCTGAATTCTTTGATCTTCTTGTTTTTGACAAGGTCTAAAGGAAATCCGACTCATATGAATATAAGAAAAGGTCTGTTCCTCGGTATATTTTATACCTTTTGTTCAGTATTAACAAAATATGTCGTATGATATCCCAAAGCAATACATTTATAGCGTATGCTTCTATTTTTATATTGAAAAACATTGTGGATTATTTCTTTTAGAAATTTTTTAAATTTAGAAAGACACATAATTGCGGCTTTGGCAATCAGAACAAGGCAGTGGTCCTTTGTGACGCAGATATTCCATAACGGTGTATCAAGTCATGCATGCGTCCTGAAAATTCGATGTATTTGTTTACTTATCATCATATTTTTGGAGGGGCATAATCGACAGTGTGTTCTAAGTGGTCATCTACAGGGAACAATAATAGATTGTAAACACTGAGGTTATTCGTTTAACCCTTGTGTTATATTTTCATAATGTAAAATATATATTCCAATAAATTTTTTCCTGGAACTGTACCAGAACAACCTTATACCTACTGAACAAGATATATCGTCGATTATTACAAGTTATGCTAACAAGTGATAAAATGTGATGCGTTGCATCTGTTTTCAATTACATACGTTTCATAAATCGTCAAAAAGATGTCCCAGTCGACAAAATTATTTGCTCAAACACGATTTGCATTCTAATGTTAAGACTTATACAAACTTTTTCAGTGAATATTCTTCAATCAAAATCAACGTCGTTTATTGTCAATCCTGGAAACGTCCTAGAAGTCTACCGACATTTTACTTATACATCGATTCTGATTAGATATGAATATGATAACGCATGCTCATTCATAACTGGCGTTCAGTAACAACAAATGTATTTGAAAATTTAACAAGTTTTATACTGTTGTAGCGTTGAATTATTCAGATTTTTCATTTTGTTGAAAAGTACGAATGAAAATTCAACTCGAAATTTATAACGATGCCATTCACATACACGTCCGGAAAGAAAATGGAAACTTCTTTCCAAAAACGTCACTTCCGGTATATTTTTTTTTATCTCGTATAGATTATAAAAAAGTATATTGCTAGTCAACGTAATTTATATTTTGACGTTATTTTTAAGGTGAGCCTGTGTACCATAGAACGAGCTACAATATGAAAGGCCACATGATCACAAAACATGACCAATCCCAAAGACATAAGCGAAATTCTAATTTATACCACGATAAAAGACTACAGACAACTACAGGCAACTACTTGATTTTAAGCTTCTTGATTAGTACACATATAATGTGACAGTGTTAGATATGGTTATTAGTGTTCAACTATTCCAGTCTCTGAGGACAATGGTACTATAACACAACATTAAATCAAACGATAAAGAATAATTCGAAATACTGATCGCTTGTTAAAGTCAAGACAACGCTAATTATTTAACAATTTTTTTAATAATAAAACTACATGTTGCATGCATGTTCAAGATACACTCACTTGTAATTCGTGATAAATCGAAATACACAATGTTAGCGTCTGACTGATCCGAAAAGTGCTAAAACATTACAAATCAATACCGTCATTTGAAAAAAGTGTACACATGTATGCCCTTGTTATCTATAATAATTCAATACCCTGGAAAACATATCTTACCGCATCACTAGGGGGCTCTTTGTGAAGCATTGTTGAATAATTCGGTGGGAAACCATATTCATCATACATTGGGTAATTCGTAGCTGCGTGCATAACACTACAGGTGTAAATAATTGACGTTATTGTATCTGTAAGCTGGTCAATCGTCTCAAATTTGTCATTTGTACTTGGAACACCCTATAAAATGTAATATGTTTTTACGGATTATGTCCACTGTTAAAGATTTGTTTAGATCTCAATTATCTGCACTCAGAAAAATAAACAAACTCATTACAAACAATATATAAATTCAGACAGCATCTAAATGTTAAAATGGCATTAATCGATGGAGAATATACCAAAGAATAAATCCCCCCCCCCCCCAAAAAAAAAAAAAAAAAACACAAAAAAAAAACCACAAAAATGAAAGAAAAAACTAATTGTTCAGAAATCACTTGAATGTCTTTCCATTATTAGATTTCTAAATCATTGATAACAAGCCATTTCCTGTTTACACAAACTTACTACTGGCGTCAAATCATAGGTTTCTTCATACTGATTCAAAAAGTATATAGTTTCTAAGTAATTTCGCATGAAATGAAGGGGATGATTTGCTACTTCCGGTTAAGGAAATGTCATTTCTAGTTTCATAAGATAGCTTTATTCACACTGATTCGAAAAATATATGGTTTCGATATACTTTTGCCTAAAATAAGAGAGATAATGTTTTACTTCCGGTTAACAGAAGGTCATTTCCGGTCTTAAACGTTAGGTTCATGCATACCGGTTGAAAAAAGGAAGGTTTCTATGTATTTTTCCGGATAGAAGTGCACAAATTATTACTTCCGGTTTACTCTAGGTCATTTCTGGTTGACATTTTTCTAGGTCATAAGTCTCTAAACCTAATGCAGAAAATCCTATGACTATATTATGTACCAGAATGAAGTTAAAGGAAAAGTCAAAAGCTAGATTGTTAAATTCTCATTTTACATTGACCTTAGTTTCAAGGTCATAAAGGAAGGATCCCAAATCAATACAATCTAGGTCTCTGCTATGGTTCATGAGTTTTATGTCCATAAACTTTCCAGGAGAGAAAAAAACTATTAAGAGTTTTCGATACATTTTTCATCACAGGGTAATTATTTTTGACGAAAATTTGTATGAAAGTAATTGTTAACATCGTCAATGCAAATATGTTACAAAAACTATACCTTCCTGGGCTACTTTTAGAAAAATATTGGGTCAAAATTTTAGACATGTACTCAAAATTTTAGACATGTACTCAAAATTCGGTTTCTTCGAAATCTCTATCCGTTGGACAGTCATACCTAACTTTTTGGTTTCAAATGATAAACACAAGTGGATGCATGTTTGTAAAAACTCTTGGAATATCTTCTTTAAACAAGAATGCTTCAAATTTGTTTAACAAATCTCTGAAAAGAATTGAAGTTTATTAAATTTTTAGGATGTTAGAAAAACAGAATAGCTGTATATTGATTTGATAAAACACAAATTAATTAGTGATTTGTTTATAAAAATGGTACAAATAATCAAGTCCAATGTCACTATAAAAAGAGAGGGCCATGTTTTCCTTTTCGAGCTAATAATTAAAATCAGTCGAAAAACGCTATATGTCACGGTTTGACGTCGCAAAAAAAAAAACATTTTACGTTAGCGACGTCATAACCTCCCCTGTCACTGTATCGTAAGCCCTTAAAAAGCATAGTACTCTTTCGACCAAAATTGTAAAGTTACCACATGTTGCAATGAATAATATGGTAGTATTTTTGGCCATTAATTAGAGTTTCTGGGGCAAAGCGAAACAAATCAAAAGTTAAAATTGAGTTCATGACCTTGACCTTTACCATTGACCTCAAATTTCTTTTGGTAGACCAAGGGCATCAAATCAAAATACCCTAGGTCTCGAGAACTTACAGTTCATGAGTAGCATATATATCACTTAGGTCGAATACAGTAGGGTAAATAACTCTCATATGAAGTCTCCGTATCGCATCAGTCAAAATTGAACAGAACATCTTGAGGATATAACGAGAAATTTGGAAACATAAATTTGTCGATTTCTTTTACGGTTGTGAAGAAGTAGCAAAAACTAGAAAAAAAATGTACAGGGAGATAACTCTTAAAATCAAAAGGTCTTTCGATAAGAAACATGGTTAATATAATTTTATCGAATCGAGACCGGTGCATCGACAGGGAAAGAGACTCATTCTATGCATCGAGACTTATACATTTTTTATCTCGGGGCCTTTCATATCCGACTATACGGTATGTTTTTTCTCATTTTTTAGGGCCGTACAGTTATTTATAATTGCTTACATCTACTTCATTTGAACTTTAGTGGATAGTTGTTTCATTGACAATCATACCACATCTCCTTATTTTTATATGATATACTAAATCTGTCATCCTAACAGACTGATCAAATTGACCATTTAAACCTAGGCCTATCAATTCATTGTACCAACCATTACTCCATGGAATACTGATGTTTTTCTAAGAACTCCTACACCTCATTTTGGTTGTCTTATGATTATCAAGATCAATAAACATCTGATAAAATATTGTCTTTTGTTTTGGATGTCTTGATTTTGAACTAAGTATACCAGAATATAAAATTGTTAGTCAAAAGAAAATATATAGGTCAAATATTTCACCAAATCATTTTAAAATTATTTCATCAGCTTTTACACCCTACCAAACAAATAAATAGAAGTATACATTTTATCAAGAAAACAAAGTTAAACACACAGAAGTATACGTAATGTTTTTCGTCGGGTACATTTGTATTACTAGTCTAAGAGTATACGCGTTATTTCAATAACAGACAGAAGATATCACATCAATTAAGAATTGAATGCTTCATTTTGTAAATATATTGGGGTGTTAAAGCGTTGACCGAAGTACATTTTGTATGAAGCGCGGAAGCTTCATTCTACAAACAACCTATACAATTACTAAAAGAAGCATTCAATACTTATAATTACATTTTATTTTGCTAGGATCATAAAAACATGATTTCTATGAAGTTTTTCTTTTATTTACCTATGCTCTTTGTTGTGGAAGCTCGTGTCATCATGAATGTTACATTTCATTTTGAATTGAAGGTTAATTTCAGAATGACGCGAGATTGCAGTTAGCCAATCAAAATAACGTATTATAATGAAATATACATGTAATGTACTTATTAGAAAATGACAAGAACATCAATGTAATATTTCCAACGATATGAAGTAAATATTGAGAATTTCTCCTCTAAGTACCGGTGCTAAAAATAAACTTAAAATAAAAAATAAACAGAATTGTAAAGGAATAAATCCCTAATTGGTAGCATACGCAATTAAACAATATACTTTATAAACTTCGAACATCCGAAAGTTTTTTTTTGATTTTCAGTCATAAGCAACGACCAAACCACAAAATTGGAAAACGAAGTATAAGTACATGAAATATATTAACACGTAAAGAGTTATTTGACCATAAAGAATAATCTGCAAAAATAGACAATTAGACAAATCTTTATAAACTGAAAATTTCCACATTTCAAAAAAATTGATTTCAAAGTTAATTATATATACGATGTGATCATCCTGATCATTTGTAAACTTATTTTTCTTTAGAGTTAAAACAATCAAATATTAAGATCCAATAGTTTTAAAATAATATTAGAAAGGAGTAGCTCTCCAATATAAAAAGTACCACAACGAGAGCAAATGCAAACAAAAGAACCGGATGTCAAGCTTTTGTTGTTTTAACCATGACCTACATATGTAATCAGAAGCATATGTTAAAACGTCTTGTTTCTAATGGAGTCCTTAGAACACAAAAGTTATTGTTCATATGTTCGACGTTCGTGAAAATTTTAATGATAAGACTCTGATAATTACAGATTTTCATTAGTTCTGATTAAATTAGGGCAAATATTGTTACAGTTATGTTGAATTCATAATGACTTCCGTAATCATTTTAACTCAGTTTGTTTGATCTCTTTATTGATTACCAGTAATGAGACTTGAGGTAATCCGACTTGTTATAAGCTTAAATATACGTCCACAAGTACATAACAATTTAGGCTACTGTACTCACTTTGATCCCTATTCCCCCATCAACAAACGCGCGTGGTTTTTGTAGTTCTTTACAAAAGGCCTGAATTTCAGCGTCGTCAATCAATCTTTGTTTTGTTTCTAAAATTCAACAAACATATCAGAAATATTTCTATTGTTAAGTTATTGAGTTCTATGTTTCTATCTGCTTAATTATATTGTCCCATTTCATTAAAACAGAATTTGATTTAAGTGGTTAATTGTATTAAGTGCTTTGTTACAAGTTTGATAAAGAGACTCGGAACAGGTTCAATTTTACTACATTTGATTTTTTTATACAAAGTACACGATACCATTGCTTTTAAAAACATTATATGATTGTTTAAAACAAGAATAGCCCTGATCTGTTTGACATCATGTTATTATTCGTTTGTATGTTTTGAGTTTATTGGTGCGTGCATTTTGCTGAACTAGTATACATTATTGTTTATGAGCCAGCTCCAGATGCTGGATTATGCCGCTGTGTTGAAGGAAGATTGGTGGCGTTGGGCTGTTTTCTGCTATTTTATCGGATTGTTGTCCCTTTGTGACACATTTCCCGTTTCCAATCTCATTCTATATAATGTTCTCTGGACTTTGAAATATTGATGTTACAGTATTACAGTTCCACCATTTTAATGACATATTTCGAAATCAATACAATTATCTTTAATGCCTGAATTACTGAAAGTATATCTCGGTTTTTGGTGAAATTTGTGTTGGACTTTCTTCCATTGTCTTCAATTCAGTGGTACATATATTTCATATCTTTTGTTGACCATGGTGCGGTCTATTTTTTGTAAACTTATTATTTTGATTTTAAATTTCCAACCAGTATGATATACCTACCGTTGTCATCTTCCCCACAGTAATAGTACCTAACATATTCGTCTACATACTCTCGGATAGCATAATAAAGTCGCAAACCGTCTTCTGCATAGAAAAATCCAGGTAAATTGACCTTTTCATTTCCATTTTCATCAGGAGATAAAAGCTGAAAGCATATTTTAAGATATACAGCTTCAAGAAACCGGACGTTTGTGCAACTATGTAAGTTGAATTGTCATGAAATCAAACTGATACTCATAATGCGTCTATGTCTATACAAACAAACAAACAACAAAACAAATCGGTAGCAGTCCTTGGAGTTCGGTATTTTTGTTATTTTACTTTTTACAACCATATCGAAAATAATTGAAATTATGTGCCGTGCATTGTCTATTATAGAGTTTTAAAGTCCGTTAATGGGAATTCAGACTTATTTCTTAGTCATTTTGATACACGAGTACTTTGTAGATGAATGTCTTGAAGAGTTACAATAAAAACGTTTAAATAACACACAGTATTACATTTAGCATTTTCAATGATGAGTATCTGTCTTTTAATTTCAAAAAACATATCGAGGACAACTCTTACTGGCATATCCATCAGTTTTTCGAAGGTCGAAGGATTATCATTTTTGGCTGGCTCATTAAGATTTTGTTTTTATCAATATTATATTCCGTTGATATTCACATTATCCAAAAATATTAAACCAAAGCTAACTAAGCACGCTGAATTAATAAGTATTATGAAGAATCATTATCGGATAGAAATGGACTACTCCGGTAAACATGAAATCATTAATATTGTAATGATATATATCAAATCACTTTTATAAGATATTCTCCCTGGATACATAATAACTAATATATCAGGGATACTTAGTGCATTGCTTTACAATAAATAAATTGTTAACAGCAATAGTGTGCAATAAAATATATAAGTCATGTTAAACAAACAAAAAAGATTCCTTTTCGAAAAATGTATCAATGCGTTCAATCCAACAATCGAGGACGTAACATATACACACTGTATTAATACACATGTATTAATATTCCATTAATGTCCACTTACTCCTCTTTTTCTTAGATCTGCTGGAAGAGTTCCATCGATGTCTAGCCTCCAAACCTCCAACCTATAAAGACAATATAGGGGATTGTTTAGAAATATTAAATGATTTTGCTATAAAATATCATTGCCTTATAATTCCATCACATCTTATGATCAAATCCTGTCGAGCAAACAACTTACAGCATATCTATTTTTGATCAAAATATCAGAAGTAGTGAGAAAACGTATGAGAAGATTTTGTGTCCAAATTTTATCTGTATTAAAAAACCTTACTAAAGGTCAACTTAACCCGGAGGAGCTGAAATCTTGTTTTATGACAATCAGTTCATCTTATAATTAACATGATTAAGGCGGCAGTAGTTTACCAATGTTCAAATCTCGTAAATCGACAAAAAAGAGATTATTAAAGGTAACAACCAAACACTGAGGAAATTGCATGTTCTTCAAAGCGAGACTTGGTACGAAAACAGAACAAGTTTGTTCTCCATGCATGCATCACTTGCCCTGCGAATCTGCATGCAAGCAGTCAAAATATCACAATCGGGACACAGTTGGTAAAATTACAGATCAAATACTGGTATCTAAAGATTTAAGACGATCTTAACATCTCGTAAGGGAGTTGAGACACCGACACAACGTATTTCAGCCATTCTTTCAATAACTCCGTTTGAGCATTGTTTGTGTAAGGAGCACACTCCATTAATGATGTCTGCATAGTTTGAACATGCGCGCTGGTAATGTATTTTTCTGCGATGAATAAATGCTAACGACAGAGTAGGTGGTACGTTTCTGCTGAGAAATGGAAATTTGATTGGTAAGTTGATACTATAGAATACGCTTTTAAATATATTTAAAGTAATTAAAGCTATAGACTTTGCTATAGTTTGAATCCAAAAATATTTTTCAAATTCAAATTAATATGCGAAAAAAACATGCTTTAGCTTTATTGTAGAACCATTAAACTACACATTCGGGTAGCTGCTCCTGTTATTCTAAAATCTTTGCACCCACACAAAATGACAGAACACAATATGTTGATTCTTTGTATATTTTTTTAATCGAATAAGTGTAAAATGAAGGTTGTGTGCAATTAAATAAATTATCTACATATTTGATTCTTCGACTAAATATTAAATAAATAAAAGTAAGTAATGATTAAGGTTAGCCAAAGTTTTGAAACAGACGAATGTTTGTAAAAATTTCGAAACAAAAAAATGTCAACATTGTTTTAGGTAGTTCTAATCTCCTTGTGTTTCCCTTTTTACATAGTTGAGTATGTAACTTCTACCTTTAAGTTATAAAAATAGAATTTGTATATAAATACTTACTTTTCCCCCAGTTCAATTAAAACACCAGCTGACTTGATCTTAATGATTCTGTCGACATATTCACCAGGACCCAACAGATCAAGTCTTGCTAATCTGCAACCAATATAAAAAAAATACCATTTAGCATTGACACCTTAACTTAAACTCTTCAACTTCGTATTTGATTTTTCCTTTGAATTATTTTGATTCGAGCGCCACTGATTAGTCTTGGGTAGACAAAACGCAAAACCTAACGTACCAAGTTATAAAGCGTTGATGAATTATTAATTTAAATCTTCCAAATGTGATAAACAATGTTTATACTTTTATTAAACAAGAAAGATCATAAGTTAGAAATCCACAAATATATGCGCATGTTTTTCTGAAACTTCCATTAGGAAAACGAGATAGTATGATGTATGTTGTTCATGATTACATTTTGTCTGAAAAAAACACAAACCTGGTAATCTTTATGAAACTTGAAATTATATGTATCAAACTCGATACATAAGCGCCACTTTAGATGCATACCTAATGCATGATTTTAAATATAAATGTTTTTCAGTTCTCTCTTTTTTAAACTCAATTAGTATGCAAAATGTAATTCATTTGAGACTTACTCGTTGATAGCAAGGGTGTAGTGAAAATGTGGAGCTAACAGCTTGTAAACTGGATGTCTTGATGAGAGATTTCGGTGCATGGATATATTTACTCCTTCCATTAACAAATGAGTTAATCCTTGAATGCATACAAGATAGTACATCAATCGAATGCATCTGTTATTACAGTATAAATAATATTAACATCAATGACAAATATAGATACACAAACCGCCTTATTGTATTATATTAAGGAGCTACAAGAAAAAGTTTAAGTAGAAACTTTTATTTTGCAAACTTTGTTCAAAGAGATACTTGTTGTAAATGCTAATTCCTTTTTTCTAAATACATAACTCATGAATTCATTTGTAAAGAATTTCAATAATATAAACAAAAATTAACACCCGTCGAATGATTTTTGTTTAGTCATACAAAATAAATATAAGAAAGTAGAATCAAAATAATTTAATTGAACTATAAACGTTAATAATAAATTATATCCCTTTTAAAATCTAACAGAATCAATGAATAAACCACATCGGAATTACTTAGAGGTGCAATTAATATTTTAGAACGACCATTATGAATTGAAGTAAATCTTTCCTTACACAGGCACATTTTAATTCATTGGGAATTACAAAATACTACCAGAAGTGCATGGTACAGTATTTTACTTTAACTGTTTTTGTTGTCTAAATACTTCTGTTTTAGAAATGTTAGCTTTCTATTTTTTTGTATTTCAAGTTTAATTAATTTTGCTTACCGACAGGTCTAAATTGCACTAAGTGACGGTTATACAGGAGACAAAGAAATGGGAATATAAAAAAAGTCAACTAAACTATTATTGCAGCCAAACTCAATTTAAATAGAATTCAACATCATAAAGATCAAGACATTAACCACCTGATAAAGGTCTGATAAAAGTTCTAAAAGTATTGATATATAAAGAGTTATTGTGAGGTATGCATAGATAAATATATCTATATATAAATCAATCTGGAAGATCTTTTAATCCGCTCATACCTAAATGAACTATTCCCAGATGTATCGAGGAATCTGCTAAATTGCACCACATCTTAGCTAGTTTCCAAACATTTGTATCGTCGTCTGGATAAAATACCTCAAATATAAACGTTTAACACACAAGTTTAAATGAATACCTATAATACAACACAGTCAATCGTAACCCTACTACATAATGCAAATATGGCTATAGCGTGGTCTGATGTCAAAAACTACAGTTCCATGTGGTGAAGTTGAAGTCTTCCTGTCGTAACTTTTACGGACGCCATCACGAGTTGGTTGACCGTTATGGAATATCCGTCTCACAGATGATAGCGGATATGTTCCTTATGTCGTAACTATAATCCCGTCCCCTTTTCCCGAATGTGACCTACCGAATTGGACTTGTTACCGGGTTTGTACCGTGGGCAACACGACGGGTGCCGCATGTAGAGCGGGGTCTACTTGCCCTTCCGGAGCGTCTGAGATCGACCCCAGTTTTTGGTTGGGTTCGTGTTGCTCAGTCTTTTTAAGCCATGGCGTTGACAGTTTATTTTCGACTAATGAGTTTGAATGTCCCTCTGGTATCTTTCGCCTCTCTTTTACATTATATGTCTTATTCAAGTAAGAAATGCGTTAAACTAACAACGTGAGGGATGATTAAAAAACATGAAATGTGAAATAAAATTAGACAGAAAACTTAAAGTTAATGAAATATTCTTCGTTCAAAACTGACAAAATGAATTACCTGCGACATTAAGCAATGGAAAATTTCATTCATTAATTTTTTTTTACATATTAGGAAAATTTTTAAATGACATAACGCCATGTCAAATTTAACCGAACATTTCATAGGGATGAAACAGCTAAAAAATAGGTTACAAAAATATTATTCGAATATGATATTGTAAACATTTTAATATCAAGGAATTTCATAGCTTACTATACGATATCTGTTTTTCTCATTGATGAAGGCCGATCGATGACCTGTAAGTGCTTCCATCCATGTCGTTGGAACTCTGGTGGGTAGTTGTCTCATTGAGAATTAGACATCACCGCCTTATTTGTATATTTAATTAAATATAACCTAACGGTGACATGGCAGTGGCAGGACCAATAAGAGGACGAAAGGGTAAACAAACGGACAGACTAACGGACTACATGAAGACTGGACGGACAGAAATAAAGCTTTAAAAGCGTAAAAGTAAGAATTAAATGTGTATGTTTGACAGTAAAGGACATACAGCTTTATATTCTTTGTTTAGGAAGGGGTTTGAAGTAAACAAATAATTCAGGGTTAGTTTGTAGTATTTTATTTGCAATAAAAGACTATTAAAGATAATCCTACATGAAGTCATGTAACAGTAAAATTAAAATAATTTACAGAAAAAAATGAATGTGTTCAATATATAAATAGATACGCTGTAACTATCAATTTTTTAAAAAAAGAAATAATTGTTCCCAATAATACTCTGGTGGAGAGTTGTCTCATTGGCAATTAAAACACATCTTCTTATTTTTATAAACGTGGCAACAATGGTTTTGTAGAAATGAATAGAATATTTAACGAGTGTTTTTTTTTTCAATCCGAGTCTACATTAGTTTGATCAATTGTCGGTAATTTGTATACTTTCTATTTCATCCTACTTGGTACTTGATTTGGCCTTTTAAAAGTTTTTGATTCGAGCGTCACTGATGAGTCTTTTCTTTTGTAGACAAAACTCGCTTGTGGTGTGCAGAATTTTAATCCTTGTATCTATGACGAGTTTAATATATATTTTAAACAAGTGACGTTGATCAGCACTTGATACTTAAGCAATGACGTCACGTATGAATGCGGCAACGTCACGCTTTCAAGTCAATCCGGTGCGATTCACATGATTTATTATTTTAATGTACACGACGCATTTAAATTTTTGCGCCGTCTTTTTTTCGCGATTTACCAACAAAATCTAGATTCGCGCCGTTTAGAATTCGCGATGTGCCGGTGTCCCAATTAGTTTTTTTTTTTATAAATGATTTGGAAACTGTACATGTATTTAAATCAAGAGCTAAAACCAATCAGAAATCCTTTTTGTATGGTCAGATTTAAAAATATTAGTCTGCTTAAAATATTATGTTTGCTTGTAGAAACACATTCACAATAAACAGAGAGGAATGACCTAATTAGGAGTGAATTAAATGCTGACAGAATTTCTTCTTATTAGTTAATCTTTTGATCTGATTGATCTGTGCAGCAGATATAATAGGTAATCATTTTAAAACTGATTGACAGGTGTCATTTACATAAATGCAACAATAGTAGCTTATTTAGCAATATCCGTAATATCCACTTGCTAGAGATGTCTTCAATGTTTATAAGACTATCATGAGACAACGTTTTGATTTCTAACATTGACTTTTCGTTAGAAATTAGGTTATATTTTGCTGTATAGATCTGTAGTCTGTAAAACCGATGTTTTAAATTAGTCATCCCAATATCCTTTTAACAAACGGTCATGTATGGTCTTCCGGTTTGTATTTTGATTTCCTGGAAATATTCGCAGCCGTTTTATTTTCGTCAACTCTTACCGTGAAAATACTGCCGCGAAAATTTCCCTGTTTACAGTACCTCAACAGCTATCTTAACGCTGTGATTGCACAACACTTGGTTTACTTACTTACATGTGGAGCAGGATCTGCTTACCCGTCCGGAGCACCTGAGATCACCCCCAGTTTTTGGTGGGGTTTGTGTTGCTTATTCTTTAGTTTTCTATGTTGTGTCTTGTGTACTATTGTTTGTCTGTTTTTTTTTTTTTATTTTTCAGCCATGTCGTTGTCAGTTTATTTTCGATCTATGAGTTTGACTGTCCCTCTGGTATCTTTCGCCCCTCTTTTACTTCTTAACGTAATTTAGTGTTTTTTTATCAAAACCTATATTTAATGTTTGACAAACTGCCGAAATACAAATTATGTCATTTAATTTTTATACGGACTTCTTTATCTGGAAAATACGGACTCGCTGGATAATCATGCTGAAAAAATAAGTATCCAAAGCAAAATATGTCATTATTCTATAAATTGTGGACACCTACAAATTGCAATTCGTACGTACATTTGTAAGTATCAGATACAGGTTTTATCATATTCATGCGATTAAGTCTATATATTATAACATTTCTACTCGATTGTACAACTTTTTTGACCAACCACGGTGATTAATAACCGTAAAATTGACGAAAGATACAATTCAATCCAAACAAATTTTATTCATGTATTTTTCAGAAAACACAGAATAAAACAACAACATTACGATCTTATATATGTGTATCTGTAAGAGATAGAATTAGAATGCTGCTTTACCGAATTTATTCTTGTATATATACATTTTAGTTATACTTATAAAGAAAAGGTTTCCATGAAAAAAGTTGAACTTACAGGGTTTGTTTCATTGCTTTTACCTTTGGGTTGGTTTAGTTGAATTGCTACAGGAACAAGGCCTGAGTGAGTCGTCTGTTGGAACAACACTACAGGACTAGGTATCTAAAATGTAAGATTACTTCTTATAAGTATGTGCTTTTGCACAATCCACATAGTCAAAATGAATGAGAAAACTGTAATTGCGCGGCATATTGGAGGGAAAACAATTCTATGTTACATTTTGTATGGTCAAACGTTGAAATTATAAGAGGTAAATGCGGGTTAAATGCTTACTGTCAGCTACATAGTCTGCTATGAATTTTGGGTTTTGTTCATTGCTGAAGGCCGAAAGGTAAGCTATAGTTGTTAACTTCTACGTCATTTGGTCTCTGATCGAAAGATGTCTCATTAGTAATCATACCACATCTTCTTTTATTTCATATATGATACATTACATATTATTTTATTTCAAACAAATGTGAGTTCACCAAATTGATTTTTTTTTTAAATTAAAGACCCTTATCTTTGATCTAATCGTTGTTATACGGAAACATAGTTTATTATCCTTTTTTATCATGGTTCATTATAATTTGACATTTATAAGTCCCGTTGAAACTAGTAATATGCTTACAATATGATGATAACAAGTAATTAAGGTAGGCAACCATCAAGTAACAATTATATGACATGATCATTCTATTTGATCTTGAGGATATTAGCCACGAATAATTTCTACTTTTAATATCTTTAATACATGTTTATCCATGAAAACTTTACAGGTTTGTTGCATTTGACATAATACTTGCGTTTTTATATCGCATTTTTTACTGCAATTGGTGTAAAATAAAAGTTTTTTTCTGCTTCGAATTCTTTGAAATAAATAATCCTGGACATGTCTGAAAGTGCACAGCTCATAATTTTCTTATTTGGTTTAGTTAAGAAATTATCATATATCAATTGTAAAATTAACTGGATATTTAAACATATCAGCGTTGATTCTTTGCTTTTTTTCCAGAAAATTTGTAAATTTTATGCACTTAAATGGTACAATATATATCCCTTCTTGTTTATAATTATGGATAATAATTACCCCTAATCCATCGGTCATGTTGAGGTTTGTGACGAACAATCGATCTTGAGATATCATCTCAACGATTCCCTCACTCATGAGCTTGTTCAGTCGAATCTCATCAACCGTCATCCTTATAACAGAAAACAAAAGACATAATTAACATGTACAAAGCCGCAAAAATAATATAAGAAATGGTAAACATGTTCTCTCCCTGGTTCAATGTTTTGTAGGCTTTTTCGTTAGTTTATACATGAAATCGAATCTATTGTTAAAATGTAACAATACATCGATTCAAGTACAAGTTCTTAAGCTGAGGTAACGGAAGCGGTTATCCATAAGACAAGAAAGCAGATACTTAAGATAAACTTTAGGTCGACAACAACCATACAAAATTAAAAAATACGTTTATAAACAATGATAAAATATACCACATATTTACATTAGGGGACAATTTATACCATATGCCACATTTCTAATGCATAGTTTACGGAACTATTTGTTGTTTAAAAATTTAACAATGACGATAAAAAAAAAATACTACTGATTTTAAAATTTTTGCGTAAGTGATTTGTAAAATGTTGACAAATATAATACTCACCAATGGTAAAAGGAACATAGAGCATATAGAGCATAACATAGCAAGTTTAATTAATTCTAATAGAAAATTTCAGATCTCCTTGCATAATTAAGGCATTTTTGTTATGATATTTATCTAATTTCATAGTGGACTTAAAAGACCAGTTAATGCATTTTATTCGATGGAGTCAACATATTATTCAAAACCAATCAGTCATGATTAAAACGTGTACAAATTCATGTACACTTACTTAAGACTGATTGTATGTAATAGCCAACATTAATGTTCCATTGGTACCCAGCGTTGTTCAAAACACGACTGGTGTGCTAAATCAAAATGAGACGTCACAGACGTGCACTTCTTGTTTTATTGGATTAAGAAGATGACTTTGTTGAAAAAGTGAACGAAGAGCGGCATATAAAAGTATATATCAGATTGGTGGTCTGTTTGAAAATCATATGATATTCATGTAGCTACATTGTGTACATTGTACTAAACAGTTATCTTACAATATGTTTCCAACGGAAAAGTTTGCATTCATACGATCAATATACGAGATTCATTAAACCTATTTGGTAAAAAAATCTCCTACAAAGTTAAAAATATGCTTGGGTGAATCACCAAAGATACTAGACAAAATAGCAGAAAACGTCCAACGTTAACAATAACTTCTCAGAAAATAAGAAAGAAAAAAAAATAACAGCACCAAACTCAGTGAAGACTGCTCGACTTTTTACTGGCTAAAATATTTGTGGAATTTTAAGTGCACAAAAATATCCCTTTAATCTATTTTATAGGCCGTATGTTTTGCAATCAAAACATAAAAAAAAAAACAAAAACATCATGAAAACTATTCTCAATTTTAATTTTACCAAGACGATGATTACTAATATAAACAAGGGAATGAAAAATCCACATTATTCGGGAAGCTGGTTCAATGTGCTAACTAATATCTGACATTATCTAAGGTTGCTTTACTAGTATCTGTTGTTTGATGCTGCTCAAGGAAGAAAGCAATCCCAACTAAAACAACATTCTTCACTGATTTTATCAATATGGTAAAAACAAAACTGGAAATAAATGGTATTTGTGTTAGACAAATATCTAAAATCATATCATCAGAAGAAAAAAACATATTAATTGAACTGTTTAGTACTTTTAGTTATTTAAACAACCTTATAAATGGCGTAGTAAAAAATACGTCCTCATTTACTTTTTTACGAGAAATATTTTGGAGATAACAAGCTGATTACGGCGGTAAACAGTTATAGAGATTTTGAAAAAAATTGTAGTATAAGCAACCCTGCAGGAACAATGCATGTGTAATTATACAAGAATTTGTTCATTAGAATATATTCTAGAACACCATAAAAGTCGTTTGATGTCTAGACCAGTTGATGCGAATAAAAAAAAACGCCACCATGAAATGAAATTAACTGATGACGACTGTGCATTGATGTTATAAATTGCATACGTAGGAACGAAAAATACTTTTGAAGGGAGTATAACTATACAAAGATTAACTGTTTGATTGTTTATATTTATTCGACATGTTGTGTTTCTCTTCAATTGAACAAACACTGTAGTTTTTACACGAAATTTTGAGAACGATCATAAAAAAAACATTCAGTAATTTAGTTAGTTAACCGAATTTCTGTTTGGCAAATGGCCTTTTATTCAATATTAAGAGCCATATGCAAAATACTGTATACTTTCATGTTTTACTATTGCGATTAAGGGCGCTACAATAACATACATTTTTTGGAGCACAGCTTTGCTCACTACTCTCTCTATTAACGACCAGTTACACCAATTAAGTCTTTGCTGAGCAAAATGTTGATCGTCTTCCCAATGGTCGATGCCCTGGAAAAATATATTAAATAAACGACTTTGTATTTCATATATATATTGATGAAATATGGATAAATTTAATATAGAAAAAAAAAATAAGTGTTAGTACAATGTAAATTTGAATGAGGAGGAATAACGGTATAATGCCAGGAAGACAAATTATCAAATTGAAAATATATGCTTTTTAAACACTAATGTGTAAATAATTTGAGCTCTAAATTGCTTCGCTTTGTTCATAGGAGAGTTGTAAGATTAATGAAGTTTACAGATACTTTTAAAAACTTCCATAAACACTCAATTCTAGAAAGATTAAATACAAATGTACAAAGATATTTTTCAAACAAAATATATTAAAATTTTAGACTCACTGCTAACCAGATAATGTCGAGACATACAAGGACCAACGGATCATCAACATTTAAGACAGAAAACATAAAAACAGGGAATGATGGGTCGTCCTGTTAGTTAAGGGAGGAATCGAGGCATAAGAAGCCCACCGATTACTCATAGCGCCGGAAAGAATGCACTTTTTTGTAGATTAATCCCATGGATATAATGCAAATCATATACATTGTTTCGGGAAAGAATGGCTACATAAATATATGTACAAGTTATTCCGATGATTAAAATGTAAAAAAAATGATATAACAAAAATACCGAACACCAAGGAAAATTCAAAACGCAAAGTCCCTTATCAAATGGGAAAATCAAAAGCTCGAACACATCAAACGAGCGGGGAAACAACTGTCATATTCCTGACTTGGTACAGGCATTTCCTTATGTAGGACATGGTTGATTATACCTGGTTTAATTTAAATATTTTTTTTTGTATCGTTGAACCTCATCAAAACCAATATATCATGTATATTGTCAAATCGAACTGACACAGTAATTGTTACTTAATCATGTTAATACTTTTAAAAAAAATTTTAAACACAATTTGGTTAAAATTGAGTAAAATTGGGATAGCAACTATAAATTTTCATAACAAAGTATACACACATATGTTGTACATAAGTTGAATATGTTTAGTTCGAACATGTTTCAACAAATAGTATAATATATGAAGTAGAACATCAAAACCCTGACTTTCTATTTTGTTAACTGAGTTTGCACACCATGTGTGCTGCATCATAAAAATATCAATCATTGCTTACATTGGTTATCTTATTATCGTACAAATAATTAATTCATTATTTTATAATACAATGTACATCAATTCTCATTAATGGCAACGTTATGCATGGCTCATCCTTTTGTCATAATTTAATGAACAGTTTTTCAATGAATACAGATTGCTTTAGCGGTTTACTAACCGTTGGTGTTTTGAAGTACAAATGGTAAGCTTTAGTTATTTGGTTAAACGAAGACCATCTCTCAGGAAAACGATGAGTGCGTCTTATTAAAGCACGTGAAATGTCTGTTGTAAATGCTGGATAAAGAATATATTTCTGTAAAATAAAAAAAAGACGAACTTTGAACAACGAAAATACAGGTATTGTTAATTTATAGTATAAACCTAAACATAAAATAATTAACATGAATTAACGAACGCCTTTAACGATCGTTTTCAACATTTGGTACACATTTTTCACATTTATTTTAGGAAAAGAAAAACAAATCACGACGAAAACTAAAAAAAGAAATCTGCCTACACAATGCAACACATGTGTAGGTAAATATAAACGACGATTAAATACTGGGAAAGCACTACAGATATATATCGTTTTAGGTTACTTTAATTTGCCTCAAACCATAACACTAAGTTCACAACGAAATGCACATTTTCAATGGAGTCCGAATGTGTTGATCTTTAAGATTTTTGACTTACACGTCCGCATCAAAACAAAAATTCGAAAATTTCAGTAACAACAATTCTTGTCAAACTTAATCATGTTAATACAGGTTATAATAAGTCAACAATGAAACCGGTTTTATATATGACGAAGGGTTATGTTTAAGACGTGTTTTTATTTATCAAAAATTATATCTTTAATTAAAGTATCATGTCTTTGAATACTATATTAAATTGTGCTTACAAAATTTTTATGAAATAAAATTGAGAATGGAAATGGGGATTGTGTCAAAGAGACAACAACCCGACCATAGAGCAGACAACAGCCGAAGGCCACCAATGGGTCTTCAAAGCAGCGAGAAACTCCCGCACCCGGAGGCGTCCTTCAGCTGGCCCCTTAACAAATATGTTTACTAGTTAAGTGATAATGGATGTCATACTAAACTCCAAATTATACACAAGAAACTAAAATTAAAAATGTCCGTTTCACAGATGATAACGGATATGTTCCTATTGTCGACACTACAATCCCGTCCCCTTTTCACGAATGTGACCTAATGAATTAGACTTATTACCCGGTTTGTACTTACATGAGCAACACGACGGTGCCACATGTGGAGCAGGATCTGCTTATCCTTCCGGAGCACCTGAGATCCCGCCCAATTTTTGATGGGGTTCGTGTTGCCAAGTCTTTAGTTTTATATGTTGTGTTTTTTGTACTATTATTCGTCTTTTGGTCTTTTTCTTTTTTTTAGCCATGGCTTTGTCAGTTTATTTTCGACTTATGAGTTTGGATGTCCCTCTGGTATCTTTCGCCTCTCATTTATATAACTTAATCAAGACATTTGAAAGATCCATAAATTTTTAAATATATATATAATACTCACATTTTCAACTTGCCATTCATGTAAGAAACCTTTGACATGTTTTAGTCCTGACGGATTAATTTCACACAATTTTATTTTCGAGATTTCAAAGATAAAGTTGAATTAAGTAATAAAAGATCCTACTTTGAAATTATATCAACCATCTATATTTTTCTCCGAAGGTCTAAATAATTCATCACTTAGAAACATTAGTAAGCCTACAATATGCATTTAAAAAACTTCAAAGTTATAATAATAAGTTACTTATAAGTAAGGTAGTCTCTATCCTATATCATTCGATTTTATTAACCAACGAAAAAAGATTGTATACATACAGTCAATAAAAATACCATGTTACAAAAAGGGTAGGGTAAAGATCTTAACAAAAACAATTTCTGGTTCGGTTCAACCAAAGTTGTTCTAATTGTGGTGTTAAATTCGGATTTTTTCGTTTTGTCATGATTTGAATACTTGTAATCATTTAACGAACATTGGTAGATTACTGTTGCCTAAAATTAAGAACAGCCATTTTAACATGTAATAAAAATTTAGACAAACTATTTGTGTCCGCATTTAAATCTTATTTTTTGAAATAGCAACAGTTGTACTGAATTACGTAAGGCGCAATAAAGATCAGTTTTGTAAAAGAAAAAGTTTATCTCTAAGTTCAAGTATAATTAACTGTAAACAATGTAATCAAGTACAAATAAATCACTATGAAATATCGCAAAGTGTTATCGAAGTTACTGGAAGTCAGCTGAAAGTACTGAACTTGCTGACATAGAACATTCAGATATATATATATATAACATAAATGTTTACACTAAAACAATACATTTAGAAGTGCTCATTTTTTTAGTTGCTGGCATGTCAAGGAAAATGTACAGCTTGAAACGTTTAGAAATGTTTCAGAAACCTCCGCTCTTTAAGCTGAAATGTTTTATTTTTTTTGTTGTAACTTACAAAACGGTAGCTCCAAGAAAATTGTTCTTCTTTTGGCAATTTCGCAATCTGTAAAGATGTGAACAAAACATAATGAAGTAAAATTAGATACATAAATCAAATATAGAAAGTTGAAACTACTTTTCTGTCAAACCATGTTTTATATGTGTGTTTTTGAGAAATCCTAAACCGGTAACATGAAACTAACCATGCTAACTGTCTGTTTTCAAAAAATTAAACGTTACAAGGATGTGTTGGCGGATCTTTAATTTGATCATTTATGAAGAACTGTTGATTAATTTTGTTCTTGTCTTTATACACAGTATTCAAATTTTCAATATCAGTCTTATAACATTAATATGACAACTGAAAATGACATCTATTTAAGATATTATCTATTTACTTTGACAGGTACACGAGGATCATTCTGGTACAGTTCAAATTCATACTCTTGGCGCTTTTTAGCAACATGTGTTTTTCTTGTTAGAAAACACTGACCATCTTCATCTTGAGGCAAATTAGTATCTTCCCTACTCGAATAACGTATGTCTGGTTTAAGCCATTTATAAATGTTAAATCTTTGGTTTTGTGTTTTATCGATTGCAATCCAACGAACAAACCATTCGGATTCATAATTTCCATCTCTGTGGAATGTCAAAGTAGATATATCTATCGGGAGTACGGCATTAGACACGGTAGCAAAATCGTGGAGACCATTTGAATGTGATTGCGTAAGTTCAAATTGGCAAAATTTGGCTACTATTCCGTTTCCATGTGCAAAAATATAAACATTAGCAGTTCCTTTGTTGCCTTTGAAGTTACCAAGGGACATTGTTATTGTATGTTTCTTGTCTCCATAATTGGTTTTACTTTTGGTATACCACACTAACCATTTAACTTTACGTAATACATACTGGTACATTATATTTTGCTCGAGTCCTGCTGAAAGGAAGCAGTCTGTTAAACATATTTAAATCTTATCATACAAGTACATTATATATTAAACCTTAATATTAAACAAAGCTGTTTAATATTCTTTGCAAATAATAGGAATTTGGACTGATAATCGGTGATAGAGTATTACCGAATGATGTACTGGTATCTCTAAAAAAGATAATCACAGAACAATTTTTTAATCGTGCCTTCGATATTTCTATTGACTGTTGAATTCCAAGCAAGATATGATTAACAAGATGGGCTTTGCGTCTTTTTAGCATACAGCTCTTAACATGTTTAAGTCTTCTACATCCTTGGCTTTCAATTACTTTTGTTTGGGTATTCTTGATGAAGATAAATCTAGAAAAACGCAATTGTTAATTTGTTATTTGCATATATGAAACAAAAATCTTTAGAGTTATTTCTATTGTAAATGATTTAAACCAATGTGTTATTCACATAGAGCATTAACAGTAATCAAGAAAAGTTCAATTATCAAACTCCATTAAACATAAAAGTTCAGATGATGTTATATATGTATTTCATGTTCTGACTTTTGATAATACATGTATTGATACAGAAGTTACAATATATACAAATTTGAAAATATCATAAAGGTCAAGATGTGCCTTTTAATATTTGTTAAGACATTTTGTAGAGGTCTTTTCAATTTTCATTTTTAACACAAAGGACAACCAAGAAAAGCAATGTAAAAATGAGACGATCATCAGTTCAAAAAAATTATTGTGAATTTCTTAGAATTGAAACTTATTAATACCATCTTTTCACAATATGAAATATCCAGTATAAATCTTGCAGAACAAATTCTCACTCTGCTCAAATTTATAAACTTAAACGATCAATTATATGTTTTAAGGGAAAATAAACTATCTGTTAGCGTATTAAAATACATTTATTCTTTTAAAGAGAAAACTAAAAATGAAAATATAAAAAAAAACTGAGACCGGTCAAAATGAAGTGCGTTTTTCATTGACTACAAGACGGTTATATTTTAATATACATTTCCTAAAATTTATGGATTAAAATAAAGAGTTATTTTTGTATAAGGAATGTTTTTGAAGATATTTTCCTTCGGTTAATAAAAAAATCTTATTTGGTTTTTGAAATCATATAATTAACAATTATAATGCGAAATTGAAATATAATATATTTTGATATCGAAATTAATCTTTGCTGTTTATAACCCCGTAATATCATGTATATGTCTCATGTCAATTAGAAATTCCTTAAAACAATTAACAACAAATATTATTCAGCTTGACTGTTTCAATACACATAAACGGATACAAAACCTTGATTTCGTGAACTGTACAATATTATCTATGAACATGAATATTCAGATGATAAGTTGTATAATTTAACTTTAACTGAGGCTGCATCACATTAACAGCTTTCTCCTTAGTTACTTTTAATTGTTCTCATCATTCCCTCATTTAGTTTGGAAATTCAAAAATACAATGTATTAAGCTTAAACAACGATTCGGCTCTTTTTAATTACGTTTGAAAAATAAATATGTGTTGCTGAAACATAAAACAACTCAGAAAAAAACAATATATAAAATATTTGTTTTATGTATACTTATAAAATGTCAATCGCTCTTAAAAAATTCATTACGCACACATTGAAATTGTTGAATAAAGCTGCTTACCCTGTACAGTTTAAAATGACGGTCTGCACTAAATCATTCAAGCCAAGTACAAAACTTCTTTTATCTTTACCTTTTTCCAGTAAACATTTAACTTCGTTTAAATACCGGTTTACTTTATATGGCAAATTACAAGAACTGTGTTATTTCTTGATAATTTTAAACACACTCACGCCTTATTGACAGGAAACAAATTTCCCCATGTAGTTAATTATATTCAACTGCAAAGCGATTATATAACACTACAGTTGTTTTAAAATGCAACCCATGTTGATATTGTCATGGCCATATTTTACATATTAATTCACAGGAAATACATACGTTTTCAGTATATAACATATTTATTTTTTGAAAAGCTCCATTCTAAATGGTGGTTGACCCGGTAGTCACTTATGACTGCCTTGGTCAATTTGGCATGTTTCGCTGCGTATCCAGTAAAAATGCGTCATTTTGCCTTTTATATCAAATAGCATCCGGACCATTTGACACTGTTGGTTTCTGTATCCAAGTGACACCACAAAACATTTTCGAATCTCTGTAATCCATTTCAATCCCATTGAATATGATATTCATTTATTGCAAATACTTAGGTATATAATTATCTGTTTGCTGTTTGCTAAAATGAAAGATGACAATTATCTAAGTATCGTTCAGATATACTTTTCCAAAATCAGACATTTAATAAAATGTCTGCATTTTAAGACAATTTATTAAATGGCTTATCATGACAGCTATTATATAAAATGACTTAAAATACCTAGTCATTGTGTAAAATGACTGACTTTTTTTTTTTTTTACAAAATTAAACAAATTGCCTGTTCACTTTCAGGAAATTTATTGAAAAAGTATTTCATTGAGACACATATGACCAAACATACGTTATCTTGTACAGAAAATAACTAATGGTTCGGTTATATTAAGTTTATTCTTCAAATACCAGCTGGGAAAGTTTATATGTCTATAATTAGCTTTTTTAAGTGAAACAACGTTGAGTATGTACTAATTCTGTATTTCAGATAATAACTCTAATAGGATCTTCTTGTCATGTTAACAGAAGGACACAATACATTTGGATATTCTTTCAGGCTCGTTTTGGTTTTATAGCTCTTGAGCTGTTTTGGTTCTTACATTGTATTAATCCTTGACTTTCAAATATTCGGCTGTGAGCGTAACTGATGAAGGTTAATCCAGAAAAGAGCTTCCGATGCATGAAATTAATTACGTGTTGTTTTCATTTTTTTGTTTGTTCCTACAATAGAACTAAATGAACAAACGAATTTTCAAAACAAAAGTCAGTCACATGAAGCAGTGGAAAAGAAGGATGTTTTATGATTGACAAGCTGTTGTTTGCGAGCGTTAAAAACCAAATATGTCATGCATGTTTAGATAACAAACTGATAACAAATCAAATAGTTGTGCAGTAGATTGACCCGGATAAAGGACAATTATTTCGACAGACATTTGAAATGAAGGCATGTTTGATAGGGACAAAAATGTTGCCCTCCAACAGGCCACCTACGGAAAGGTCAACGATTTCTTCTTAACGTGCAGAGGGCGTGACACTCTCCTTAAACGAGGAATCAGCATAATGTCCCCATTTAGAACGAATGCAAATTTCCCCTCTAAATAATTGGTTTGGCCATGCAAGGTCGTGTTTGATTGTGATGCAAAGATATCATGGATATACATATCATCATCTCAAATGCATCGGGTGAATTCATGGATCCTTACAATCTGATGACTTAAGGCGACAGTATGTGTTTGCTGTTTGCGAAACCCCATATTTTACGCCAGTAAAGTGTTTCATCAGAAAAAAAAAAACTATTGACAGAGGTAAATACGTCATGTTTCGGGTTTCACCAAATGTTTTTGTAGTGCTAAGATTTAACGTCAAATATTATATTTGCCGAAATAAATCGTGACATATGAGTATCAGAACCTGCCATTCAAACATGTTATGAAAAAATAACACATTTTTCGAGTTCACTGTGTATGGAAATTTTAAATAATTCAGTATAGCATTTATTTTTCTTAATATGCAAACATTTAGCTAATATCATATATAAAACTGCTCTGTTTTTGTAAAATGCCTGAAAATATAAGTCAATATATGAAATACCTGATTCTTATTTGCTTTTCCAAGCATTTTGTTAAATGCCTAGTCAATAATTATATTAAATGCCTGAGTCTCACAGACATTTTAGAAAATTCATAGAGTTTTCAGGTTTAGACATAATATACCCTACCCCTCTAAGTTCAGATATTAATATCAAGTTCTTGGTCTCCATACTTCTACGACTTTACGAACGCCATAATCATTTGGTTGACTGTTATGAAATATTTATACAACAGAAGATCATGGATATGTTCCACTTGTCACAACTATGACTCTTCTTCGATCGTGACAACACTAAGTTCAGTCAATTATTTATAAAATTTGGACGCACAAGATATAGAATTTCTTTCCTCAAAGAGACATCACAGCAGGATGGAGTCTAAATTTCACAGTTTGAGCCCAGTGCAATGAGTTTAAGTAGTGGCTACGGTTCTTACATAAAAGCATATGCATGGAATTGGATTGCTGTTAAATCGGCTTGGATGGAACAAAGACCTGCTTTTTTAAAATTTTATGTAGTACTAATGAGGCGTGTCATAATTAATACCCTACGATAAAATCAGTAACTTCTAAATAATCCAAAATGATATGCAATTACGGGAAATTGTGGTTACCGATAGACATACGTTTTAAGTGGTTTTTTGCTGTGCATGTACTGATTTTGTGTCATGGATGGATACCCCATGTTCTTTGTTTTTCTATTATAAACCAAAAAGCTGGCATTGTTATAAAAAGAAAGATATATCTTATGAAACTAAACATTATGAAGAAAGCTCATTTGCGAGAAACTTATTTGCACAAAATAACACATTTCAAATATGTGAGATAAATGAATGAATAAGCATAGATTATAGGGTTTTCTACATATTACTATAGTTAAATATTGGCCGTGAGCTACAATGTAAACCTTTTGACGAGTGAGTATTATAGCGAACGAGCATCATTGCTTCATATTGTGACGAGTGGCTAAATTTGACAATATCTATACGCAGAAAACCCGATAATCTGTTTATCGTGCTATTTCCCGTATTTTCCCTTCTTTTGGACAGTACACTAGTGTTACTCGTGACGGCAATGATCTTGATAACATCTCCTGGCACATTGTGACGTCGCTGATAACTTCTCCACATACATTGTGACTTCGTTGGTGAATTCTGCTGGCGTAAAAAAGTCGTGATACTAAATTAAAAGGGACTGCACTGCATGATATGCACGTAGGGAAGGACGATAACACCAACCATCAGGTGTTAATATCTACTTTTTAAATAGTTATTTGATGTTCTGCAGAGATTAAGAACAGCAATACCTATACTGTGACAACGTGCTACCTGTATTTGGAAAACCGAGTATTTGACATGTAATATATATATCCACATTTCTATAAAAGATGATGGTAAATGTCTGATAGATGTCCAGTGGCAGCTGTTGCATGCATACTCAGAAAGAGATCATCATGTCAATATGATATGAATATGAACCTTGCTTTGTACTTCACTGACACGTTGGACCTGGTTTTTACGTTTTTTCATCATAAAAATCTACAGGAAGACATTAATTAAGATCATTTGTATATCTAAAATGCAAATGCAAATCTTAGTTTTGAAAATTTTCGATAGTTATTAGTTATTTCCAGCCAGATAAGGGGTTGCTATAAAGCAGAAAAAAAGCAAAACTATTATACTCAAGTATGATCGATTATGTAGTACTACGTGCTTGCCATAACCTTTAAGATAAACTTTGTAAGCCATAAAAAGTTTGTAGAATCACTCAACCAAACCATCCTAACTATTTACAGTTTTAAATTAATATCATAAAGAAGAATATGTTTTATTTGTTGTATTTTTGGATTGTTGCGGGTATCTTCTATTGTATACTTTTCTATATGTTTAACACAAAACTATCATACACCAGTCATCGCAGTACTTCTCATCACATATATCCGATCTTAAAGATTATAAACATGAGACATTAAACAGTATAATTATCTAAAACAAATGGATTTGTGAATCACTATGATACTCTTAATTGTATTGTTTAATCAGACGGTACTAGGCTAATAAAGGACATACTACAGCTGTTCTGTATATTATTAATGTCGTGGTATATGTCCAAAAACAATATATTTTTTTTCTAATGCCAGTGTGTATGACTGTATCAATTGAGTCAACAAACCAAAACACTCAATCATTTTTATCATTAAAGAATTTATACATTTATGATTGAAACAAACAAAAAGACGACCATACATCTATAAGGAGCTTAAAAAAAATAAGATATTTTGTTGCGAGGTGTCACCTAGCAAAACGATTTGATATTCGATGTGTAGCTTGGCCATTAGGAGTTTCTCAATGAGAGCGGTTTTTAATCTATAGATATAAGAAGATGTGGTATGAGTGCCAATGAGACAACTCTCCATCCAAGTCATAATTTGGAAAAGTAAACCATTACAGGTCAAAGTACAGCCTTCAACACGGAGCGTTGGCTCACACCAAACAGCAAGCTATAAAGGGCCAAGAAATGACTGTCTACACAAACTTCATCTTGTCGATGATTTGGAACAAAAATGATTTTGTCCCTGAATGTCCCTTTGAGTAGCAAATTTACAAACTTTGCACATTTCATGTTATTTTTGCTCATGTCGAAAGTAACTGATGAAACTTTTTATTAATAAGTGACATGCTACAAAATCTTCACCTGTCTCGATTGTGTTTGCCACAGACAAGACCGAAGCGCATTCGAAGAAACCTTACACGAAAATTGGCACTTAGTCTACACAATGCTGCAATGATGTATGGTATGACTTGAGGAGGTCTGACACACACGTACACATGGGACATTTTCACATGAAGGATTTCATGACAGACACCTATAGATCTTTTATTTATCTGTCAATAATGTTAGAATTAGTGATTATAGTTGATTTGATTTCGTTGTGATTTTTATACAAACAAATGAATTTTCATCATTCAGACTATCTGAGAAAGGCACATTTGGACACTCACGAATTTGTACAACAACCTTTTCTTTAAAAACAACAATGAAGATTACCCATCGTAAGGGTGATAATTTTGTCACTATCGTTCG